CCCCAAAAATGCGGGCGGGGAAAGACCAGTTTTACACACACACACACACACACACACACACACACACACACACTTATCTCGTCTCTCCGCCGGGAGGCAAGAAAGAAAACGAGAAACAAAGAATTTCTGCACCCAAGAGGGAAGGAAGAGGAGAATCATTTATTCTCAGACCTGCGGGACACACAGAACCCTCCTCCCCACGTTCGCCTTTCCCTACAGGGCTCCGAGAAGTCTGTACCAGAACAGGCGGCAGCTGCGCGCAGCCAGATGGGTTTGGTCGGGCAGATTCTCCCCCTAAAAATCGACCGCTCTGGTCGCCTGGGGCCATTTGCTTTGGCGGCTGAAGAGCGCATTGCACCTTGTCCGCCTTCTCTTTCTCTCTCTCTCCCTCTTTGCGGCAACACACAATAAATCAGGAAAACAATTAGATGAACTCCCCCCCCCCGTGCTGCCCACCTTCCCCATAAAACGTCTCCGGTGGATAATATCTGTCTACAGGCCACTATAAATCCCAACTGCCTTTTAAGAGGAATCAAAAGGCTGTCGCAGATCAAAACCAAGCCGTAAAAGTTAACAGCGCCGTAAAAATCCAGTTCCATTAAAAAAGCTTCACCCTCTCCTTATAGCAGCCACAGGAACAGTCGTCTCCCCTTCTAGGGCCTCTTCTTCTCCACTTTCGGAGAGCGTTGTAAAAATGTTCCCTTCGGCCAGCATATAGATACGCGCATCTCTTTCTATCAAACGGCTCCAAAACAGACCAGAATCATAAAGGCAACTAGAAGAATCATGCCTAGATTTTGAACGTTAAAAAAAAATACCTTAACCAAAGGCTTCTTACATCTCAACCAAAGTCGCTTCTCTGGATTCCACATGAAAGACATGTCACAATTCCACACACACACACACACCCTACACTAAAGAACACAGTGGAAACACCCCACAACATCCGATTTCAGAAGAGAAAGTTCAGACCGCGCCGGTTCTTGGTTCCTGTGGTTTTCTCATTTCCCCAGGCGGTTTGTGTCCTTCCCAGGCCTCCCCAGCACTCTTCGTCTGCCTGGTGAAGAGTGTTGTGGAGCTGGAAAGCTTGCCAGCTGCCCAAGCCTCCCAGCTGGGAGCTCTGAAGCTGCTTCCCGCACTTCCAACACAGGCGGAGATACGACATAACATAGATGTTTTCAGGGAAGCCTTTCGCTCGCGGCGGTGCGGAGCGATCGCGCCCAAGAAATTACTTATTCGTGGTTTTTTTTAAAGTCACATGTCTGAACCGACGTAGGGAAAGAGGAAAGGAGGAGGTGTTGGGTTGGAGGAGGGAGAGAGAGAAGAAGAGAAGCCGAGCTTCGCATGGCCGTGAAAGGCCCCACGAAGGAAAGAGGCCACCCACCTGTATGAGTCCGCTTGTGGATCTTGAGGTTCTCGGAGCGGGCGAAGACCTTGCCGCATCCCGGGAAGGGGCAGGGGAAAGGCTTCTCGCCCGTGTGCACGCGGATGTGGTTNAGCCCCCCACCCCACCCCCACCTCCACCCCGAGGGATATCGGCAGCGGCCGGGGAGAACGCGAGTCGAGACCAGCCAGTCCTGAACTTTCCCTGAAATACGAGGCGCCCTCGGGAGACAAGGGGCCTTCTTGGCGAGATCCTCCCGCAGAAGCGAAGATGTTCCCACGGCGAGACTTCGCTCCCCCCGCGTTTTCCCTGGCGCGTTTGGCTCGGGCTTGCAATCCATCTTGCTAGGGAAGGGGGCCGCGTTTCAAGGGAAAGTCATGCGAGACGCCTCCGCCGGCCTGGTGTTGGCTTTTGCCTTCCTTTCCGAGGAAAGTTCACGGCGAGGGACGCGCCACGGCAGCACCCGGGGCTCTCGCTCTGTCTTCCGGGCGCTATGGGAAGTGAGGGACCGGGCGTCGTTGCCGGCGGGGCCGCCCGAAAATTCGCGGCTTGCAGAGAAGCTCCCAAACAGGCCCGCTTTTCTCCTGGAAAGGGAACCGAGTTCAACCCGGAGGAGGAGGAGGAGGAAGGGGACGTCGTGGAACCGGAGGCTCGCTTTTCCTGCGCCCTGAGAAATCCAGCTTTCACTCAAAGGAAGTACCTGTAGCTGCAAAGTTGAATGTAATGCATTCAACTTCACAACTACTAAGATTGTTGGATGAGCAGGCACAAAAACAGCCAGGGAAGCAGGGCCCTCGTCAGTCAACAGGCTGCTCATTTACCACCAGTTTATCAAGTACTTAGAAGGGGAGGGCTGGCTGGGCAGCACAGGGAACAACTTAAGGAACAACCTAAAAGCCAACCATCAACACACCCCACCAGCATCTAAAAAGTCACATACAACAGGTATCCTATAAACACAGAGAACAGAACACGCTCTGCTAGAGAGAAGTTCCCTGAAGGTGGGTTCCAGCACAGGTCCGAAAGTTCAGAAGACAAAACCCTCTGATCCCGGTGACCCACCCAGGCTGGATCCTCCAATATTATCCTGGGACACATATATTCGCCTGTATTCGGAAGCGATCCCTCTCCTCTTCTTCTTCCTCGAGACCAGCAGCTGGGAAAGGAGGAGAAAAGGCTCCTCTTCTGGCCCAGCCACGGCTTCCCTCGGCCTCACCCACCCGCAGCGTTACCTCTGCCCGAACCCCCTGCGCTCTGCAACCAAAGGCACAAACTTCCTCCTTGGAGCGGGGGAGAAGAGCCTTCTCGTCTGTCGGGATGCTGGCTGGCTCTTGTCTTCGGGAAGGCTATTCGGAAGAGGGGGAAAACGCACCGCGACCAGGGCCCGCAAGAGCCGGTCAGCTCCCTGGCCGGCCGGCGGTCCTGAAACTCTTCCAGTCGGCTAAGTTGACTTCCCGTTTCCTCCTCGCCTTTGTCCCGCAGACCTGACCGAGCAGGCAGAGGACGAGCCCGACGTTCCGGTTCCCTTACAGGCAGGCGGCCTGGCGCCAAAGGGATCGCCTTCCGAGCCTCTTTCTCAACTACAGCTACCCGGGACAGCGAGACCTTGGAAAAGTAGCTTCTCCAGTGGCGGAGGCTGAAGGCAAGGGGAAGAGCCCCCAAAAATGCGGGCGGGGAAAGACCAGTTTTACACACACACACACACACACACACACACACACACACACTTATCTCGTCTCTCCGCCGGGTGGCAAGAA